AGCCCGATGCGGGACTCGATCCAGGGACTCCAGGATCATGACCTGAGCCGAAGGCAGTCGCTTAACCAACTGAGCCACCCAGGCGCCCTCAAATAAATCTTTAAAAAATCTATATTGTAGAAAAATATTCATTCATAAGAAGAGAGATTCAAAATACAATAATAAGAGAAGAAAATAATTAAAATAAAATCAGTAGGATCCCACTTTTATTTTACGCAAAGGAAAAAAACGCAAATATATATTTTTGCCCATAGAAAAAAAGCCCTGAAAAATACATACTAATGTGTAATTCCTACAAGCTGGCATAATAGATGATTTAAATCCAATCTTTTGACTTTACTTATTTTATCTCACTCTCTTTCTTTTTATACAATAAACATACATTACTTCCATAACAACAGCAACCACCAAAAACAAGTGACTTTCAATTTTGCAAAGAGATGCTCAACCTTGAAATATACATCCAAATTGGAGGCAACAAGAAAAGAAGAAAAGTCCCTGAAAGGTAAGACCAGCTGGAGGTTTTCCCAGCCTTTTGGGTGTGTGTGACATCCACAGAGTTCAGAGATGGAGAGCACTGTGATTCCCAGCTGTGGCCCAGATCACAGACCCACCTTCACAGAAGCAACCCGAGAACAGGGAACAAGAGGTGGCCATCACAACACGACCTCAGAGCACTGAAGACTGTCATGCAACATCCAAAATGACACAGTGTAAGCAAGCTGTGAGGTGCGGAGTAAGGAGGTGGGACCCACCTGGATGGTCACATTCATGGACTCTGGCACAGGTCTGGGTACACTCAGGGGGTCTTGTACCACAGGGAACTGGCGGGTAGATCACTGACGCACCACAGTGGCAGGTTAGTTCATCAAAACCTGATGGGGAGGCAGGTGAAATAAAACAATCTTTCTGAGTTTGGAATGTGCACACACATATTTACACAGACACAGACCACACACACTTTTTTTGGCTTGCATTTTTTTTTCTTTTAGGGGACTGCTTTTTTCACAAAAGGTTTTTATTTTATTAAAGTTGAGCTGGTGGCAAAGGAGCAGACAGGTATGTTATTTGCAACAAACTCTAAGTCCATGAGCAACCCAGGACACTTTTACATGTATTTTATAGACAACAGATCTACAGACCATCTCTTTTGAGAAGAGGAGACTTCCACTAAAGATATAGCTTTTTTCCCCAAACTCCTTTGGTTAGGGAAAAGGATAGAGATTATGAAAGCCACAGATAATTAACAAACATACTAAAGTATATATTTGAATATAAACTTCAGAGAGCCACTGAAGCCATTCAAAAAAATTCTTTTTTTTAAAGATTTTATTTATTTGAGAGAGAGAGAGTGCGTGTGCACGAGCAGTGGGGAGGAGCAGAGGGAGAGGAAGAAGCAGGCTCCCTGCTAAGCAGGGAGGCTGATGTGGGGTTTGATCCCAGGACCACAAGATCACGACCTGAGCTGAAGGCAGAGGCTTAACCAACTGAGCCACCCAGGCGCCCCCCACCCCGAAATTCTTACAGGTATAATCAACACCTATCACACTAGAAATATGAAGTTGAAACGAAGCACAGAGCTGCATCCAAGTTCATTACGCACAGTTCCCAAGCTAAATCAAAATGATGACTCACACTGGACAGCTCCAACAAGCAGCCCACCTCAAGAGCTCTCCTAACTCCTAAATCCCAAGGGGAAACAGTTCTCCAATTCTGACTCTTGGTAGAGGCCAGGCCTTTGGCTGTTGATCTCAACCAAGTCACTAAGAATTAGGAAGCCCAGGGCTCTCAAGAGTCTTCCACCCACTGCTCTTCTCCAGTCAGTACTCTTTCCACCAAACCCTTCAGAGGCTACACAATGTGGCAGAAAGAGCCCTATAAATACAGTCAGGAGACTTAGGCTTCGAGTCCTGGACTTACTACTTACTCGCTAAGTAATTATGGGCTGGTAACTTAATTTTTCTCAGCTTTCTATTGGTGAGGTGGTGATACCAAACTTTGGTCTATCCATTCAAAAAGCTTATTATGAGAAATAGCTAGATAAAGGGAAAGGGGCTATATAAGTTGTTTTCATGGAATCCATGTATGTGATTTATTTATTTTTAAAAGATTATTTATTTGAGAGAGAGAAAGAGAGAGAATGAGCAGGGGGGAGGAGCAGAGGGAGAAGCAAGCAGATTCTCCACTGAGCAGGGTGTCCAAAACGGGGCTCGATCCCAGGACCCTGAGATCATGACCTGAGCCGAAAGCAGACCCTCAACCGACTGAGCCACCCAGGTGCCCCCATATGTGTGATTTATATCAAAGCACGGACTCAACTCTTTTTTTGAAATGAAGTAGGCCTAGCATTCTAGCAAAAGACATTTTGGGAAATCTTGATCTAAGCCAATCTTTTAATACAGCAGTTCTCAAAGTGTGCTCTGTGGATGCCTAAGGGTCCCTGAGATCCTTTCAGGGAGTCCATAGGGCCAAAATTATTTTCATAAGACTAAGATATTATTTTTGTTTTCACTATGTTGACATTTACACTGATGGTACAAAAGCAATGGTTAGTAAAACTGCCAGGGCTTTAGCACAGATCAAGGCAGTAGTACCAAAATGTAATCATGGTATTTCTCACTGCCAAGCACTTAGAATAAATAAAAAATGCTCGTTTCACTTAAGAAAGTCCTTGATGAAGCAGTAAAAAGAAAGACAATTTAGTTCTTAAATACATGTCTTCTTAAATACAAATTCATAATCTGTGAAACAAAGTGGGAAATCTGCATAAAGCACTTTCGCTGCACACTAAAATATAGGTTGTTTTAAAGAACTGCACTTGTTGGGAGTTGTGAGCTAGAATACCATTTTTACTTGAAAGAATGACTGACAAGCTATGGTTATTTAGACTCGGGTATCTGGCATACATTTTATCAAAAATTACCAAAGTGAGCCTATCAATTCAGGAAAACCAACTTTCAAGCCTTTAAGTGAAAACAGAATTTTGGAAAATATGTATTTACCACTATGAGCTCGACAACTTCCTAATACTTTTCCCAAGACTTTTCTGATGAGATTGGTAGTTATATTAATGAATGTAAATTTTTAATATTATAACAAAATTTTTCACCATTTCAAAAATCTGCACAGCACAGTGAATAATTCATTTCCAAATGATCAATGTGCGATGCTATAAAATCATGCATGGGTAAAAGATCCATTCAAAATATAAGAAAAACCAATGAATTTTAATGTGACAGAGAACAAAAACAAAACCCCGGACTCAAGTCCCTTCTGAAATGAGGTTGAGTTTTGGTATAATTTCAAAAAAATAATATCCACGATTATACTCTCTTTTTCAACTATATATCTATGTAAGGCCAGATTTTTTTCATTTTCTTCAACTCTATACTGCAACAGATTAATGTAGAAGCAGATATGAGAACCCATCTACTCTTCTAGTTAAAAAAATAGTTTTAAAAATATGTCATTTAAGGACACCTGCGTGTCTCAGTTGGTTAAGCATCTGCCTTCAGCTCATGATCCCAGGGTCCTGGGACTGAGCCCCACATTGGGCTCCCTACTCAGTGGGGAGTCTGTGTCTCCCTCTGCCCCTCCCCCACGACTCATGCTCTCTCTCTCTCTCTCTCTCTCTCAAATAAATAAAATCCTTTTTTTTTAAAGATTTTATTTATTTATTTGGGGCGCCTGGGTGGTTCAGTCATTAAGCGTCTGCCTTCGACTCAGGTCATGATCCCAGGGTCCTGGGATCGAGCCCCACATCAGGCTCCCTGTGCAGCGGGAAGCCTGCTTCTCCCTCTCCCACTCCCCCTGCTTGTGTTCCCTCTCTCGCTGTGTCTCTGTCAAATAAATAAATAAATAAATAAAATCTTAAAAAAAAAAAAAAGGGCTGAGCAGGGAGCCCGGTAAGGGGCTTGATCATAGGACCCTGGGATCATGACCTGAGCCGAAGGCAGACGCTTAACGACT